CTTTCTTCTCTAGGGATAGGGCTGGCTGGTAACAACAGATGAGTTAAGTCGGGAACCTGATCCTGTTTCTGGGCCAGCATCATCTCCTTTACTTACTTTTTCTCTCTTTGCTGACTTGTGCTTTTCACTGCCACGGGGGTGTCTGTGTGTGTTGTTGATGGGCTTCTAGGTGTCTCTCTGCTCTGTGTTTACACGTTCAGTTTTTAACATTTACAGCTCAAGGGTTTGTGTTTGTCAAATTAAAAGATTAAGAAAGTCATCACCACTGATAGGCTTTTTAAATCCTGAAGACTTAAGAGGAGAGAATTTAAGTAAGCTGCATGTCATGAATATGTAGGTTTGACCAGTTCGTTAAGAGCATGCTGCCACTGGATGGGAGGTTTTGATGAAACCACACAGCAGCATTCCTGTTAGAAAATGGAATGTGTGATCAGTCTTCCTCACTGACCACAGGACATGCATCTAACCTGACTGTAAGCGGATGCAGGATGGGTTGCTATTTATCATGGAGAAGAAATTGGGAGAGCATCGCTCACAACCCATCGTTCATTGTGAGTAGTCTGAAGCTCGCATTAAAGACAAACAGGCTCGCGTGTCAACCCTGAGTTAGAATGGACTAAATGTGAGGTTAAATTGCTGTGTTGCATTAGAACTAGGAAATTCAAACTTTGAAGTGTTAACTAATCCATGCTGAAAGTGAGCTCTAGAAAGGTCAAATGGTGATTAACTTGCCGAATTAAAAATGAATGAAAACATATTTTTTCATGCATTTTTGTGACAAGCATATTGGTTACAGGAAAAGTACTATGAATAAAATCTTGGCGAATGTAAGATATGCCATAGGAAAGGGGGTGGTGCCAGTTTTGGAGGCAATGGAGTGGTTAAGTGGTCAATTTGAGGTTAAGTACAAGGACATTGGAGACTGGGTGGGATTTCACTTTAGCCATTCACTAGCTCTTCGACTTTGCACCTTAGTGCCCTCTTCTATAAAATGGTGGTGGTGGTACTGACAGCCCAACTCAGAAGTGATATGAAAATTAAATTATTTATTTGTAATACATTGAAGAATAGTGTCTGTAGGTGGTAAATTCTGGGTAGGTTGTTATTATTCATTGACTTCTGTGACCTATCCCTGAATCCACTCGTTTGCCAAATCTGGCAGTGTCATGCTTGCAATGAAGTAAAATGGAGAGCTACAAAGTATTTTATTTTATTATTTATTTTATTATTATTTTATTTTTTTCCATCACCATTTATCCCCTCTATACCCTCTTCCACCTCCCCCGTCCCAATCAGGAAGTAAGAGCTCCGGAGTTTTACAGTCCTCCCCTCGATATCTTTCCAACGGATCCAACTGAAATGGCACAGCCCTTGAGTTCAAATTAGGTTATGTCAACAATGAAACCTACCGTGCAGTGGCTTTTAATTCCCTACCTCCTTCCAATTTTTGTCGTCTCTGGTAATTCTCACGCTACTCACACATGGAAACTAGTCGGTCCTCTGCAGTCTTTGCTTCCACTTTCTAGTCAAGGTACCTTGCCATGGCTTTGCTGACTATGCCTCCCATGTGCTTGTCTTCTGCCCAGAGGGTGCTACGAAGCCAAAGACTGCTGTGATCTGCATTTGGTGGTGGGCCAACATTGGGTTAAACTATCATCTGGGCATGTGGGAGTCGCATTGGCTAATCTACCACCCATTTCCAAGGTCTTCCTGCCAAGTCTGGCTTCATGGGCATGCTACCTGCCCAGTGCTCAGGGCTCAGCACTCAGAAGGACCCCATCCTTGCTTGAGTGCTCTATTGTTGCCATCTTGAAATTCTTAATTTCATGTTTGAACTTTTGTTTTGAAAGCAAAGTCTGATGTGAAAATGAAGCGTGCCCATGAACAGAGGAAATACACATGGAAAATGTCACCCCATTTGTACACAGTGTTTATGTTGCCCTCTGAACATGAAATTCAGGTGAGCTCATGAGATGTGGGAGTTCAGTCACTGAAAGCAAAATTGAATGTAAGGTAAGTGGATTATGTCCATGACTAAGTGACAGCTCTGAGAAGTCGCACTGTTCCTTTGAACTAGAACTTGCTTCCAACACAAAAGAAACACAAATGACCAAGAAACACTGTCAGACCTTTCTTATTAGTGTTCTGTCCCTGCATTAGCCACCTACTTACGCTGAAGATAATGACATAGAAAGAAAAAGATAGGACAACGCAGAGTTTTTTCTCTCTCCATCTTTCTTTACTGAGTAGTAAACTAGAGTCTACTGTAGAATGTATGTGTGTCAGGAAGTGAATTAAAAACAGTTGAGTTAGTATGTGCAGTGTTTCCATTGTTCCAGAAGGAAGGAAGTACAGTGCATATAGGAGTTATGGAATGCAAATTGTATAATTTCAATGATTCCACTTATGAGTTAAAGATCAGTGGTAAAACTCATGTGAATATCTAAAATTTTAATTTTTCTTTGCTTAGAACATTAAATAGCAGATAAAATACACCACAATATGGGAGAAATTGCAGAAAGAAGAAAGGAAGTTGATACTTTAATGTCCCAAATGGCACTCTTTTCCTGTTTTTTGAACAAAGGAATTTTATTTTGCCCTAGGCCTCACAAATTATTTAGCCAGCCATGTCTTTTCCCTAACTATCTTCACTATAGAAGTTGATAAAACTTTAAGCTTGATTTCCCAGTCTCCCTTGCACCTAGCAGTGGCCATGAGGCATAGCTGAAGTCCACCCGGAATCCTTGGGAACAACTGAAATGCCCAGAACAAAGAGGAGACATTGAATTGTGCTGCCTTTTCCCTTTCTGCTCTCCTTCTTTGGAGCTCTGCAGCCATTTTGTGACTATTAGGAGCCAAAAGGGTATAAAAGTTGGAGTGAAAAGCTTGGGAAAAGTCTGTGTCTTTGAGGGCCTTGTTGAGCTAAAACCAGCAGCCATTAATCTAGATTTTTTTATGTGGGAAGAATAGCCCCTACTAATTTTAGTCACTGAGTAGCCCATACTCTCATCTTCCCAGAGATGGGCACTCATATGATTCAGCACACCAGAGAGGGTTAGTACACTGTTCCAGAGAAGTAAGGGCAAACAGGGTCCTTCATTGGGTGAGTTGACACGTGGCTGGTCCTTGTTTATCAGCATTGCTGTAATTAGGACATGTTAACAGGCTGCGGCCAGTTCACAGCCTTGTATATGTCCATGTTTGGCCCATCAACTTAGAACATGGGTCTTAGTTATTTTGAATGGAAGGGAATTAGTTAAAACCTTTCCCAGCAGGAGTCAGGTGTTTTAGTATTTAGCAATCTCCTCCAGTGGTAATAGCTTGACTATTTGCCAGGGGCTTTTGGGGAGCTCCCATCTCTCACTAGAAGACTTTGTATTGAACCTTTTCGGGAATTTGGGTCAGAGTCCTCACTCATCAGTTTATTGCAGAGTCAACAAACTCCTGAGTTAGCTTTGTCCTCTGTGCTTCCCCCTCCCTGCTTTTAGCACAGGAAAGACACAGACCTGTGCTCTCTCTGGACACCACAGATAACACTTTGATGGAAGAGTTGAAATCACTTACTGAAAAGATCTCCCTACCACAACACTCAGTTTTACAATGAAATACCATGGAAACCACTCTCTGAAGAAGCGGAGCAGATCACAGCCATTCTCAGACACGATGGGGCAAAAACAGAGCCCACCTCACAGGGTAACGATATCTACAGAATGACATTCTGTGTAAATGGTAAAGCACCTCACAAATGCAAGATCATCTTGAGAAAATCAATCCCTTTTCTTTTTGTATTGCCTTTGTGTGAGACATTTGGGAGCACGCTGACTGTTCAAGTTCAGCTTTTAGCTTAGTTAGATCTCTCTGATGCCTAACTGAAAGCCTCTTCCATGTAGAAGAAGGTTACCATAAAAGATGGACTTCTGGCACCCAGGTCCGAGTAGCACCCGTGACTAGAGAGATGATAAAGAAGAGGTCTGTTTCCACTTTGCTGGGACACTTCAGTAAGCACCTTCCTCTTCTTGGTCAACAGTTCCCATTATGCTGAAATCAGTGTCCTCCTCTAGCACACATGAGCAAGAATTAATCTCTGGCAAGATCTCACAGAAGCCACCTGGAAATGGTACACGGGCTCAGTGGGTTAGACACACTGCAGACATCTGGATACATCAGGTAATTTGTGCAACATGTTCTAATCAGCAACCATCTTCACCCTTGGCTTTCTGGAAGCTGCTTTTGTGTGGAGTATGTTTCTCTATATTCTACTCATTGTTGTCAGAAGGAGAGCAAATGTTCAGGTAAGGGGAAAGGTAAACAGTAATATTGAACGTCCCATAACAGTCAACACAAATCAATGACACCCCCCGCCCCCACCATACACATACCAAATTTGTCTTATTCTTAGAGGAATCAAGTTTAGCACCAACACTTCTGTACCCAAGCAAGGCCTGCCTTGGGATCAATTTCCTCAAACATCTAGGTCTTCTTGAAAAGAGTGGGAGCCTCGAACTTTTATACAGGGGAGAGTGTTTAAGGGTGTCCTAGGGTTAAAAATAACTGATCACTGGCCAGCCCACCTCATACAGAAGCGCTCCTGAATGGCCTGTGCTAGCCTGAGCCAGTCCAAGTTGTGTCTTGGTGAGGTCAAACAAGAACAAGAACAAGCAAAGAGTAAAAGGTGTGAGCCAAGAGTTCACTATTAAGTGATGCTTATTCCTGACGTCAGTTGAGGTTGTGCTGATACAAGGGCTTATCCACTGTCCCATTAATCTCCCAGGAAGGAGGGATGTAGGTCTGAGAGAGGAGAATAAGGAACTGAAAGATATCAGATGATAATTTACTTACGGTCCTATTTAATGCATCCCCACTTCCTCTTTATCTTTATGACAATTCACAATGTATAATAACTAACATTTCTTCCTTAGGTATATTTTATATCTTGACCCCAGCACATCAACACAGAACAGGGGTTATATATTAGAATAAACTGATGGTAACACATGAGATTCTGCCATTCCAGTTTATTGAAATGAGTAAATTTATAGCTTTATTTGCATACAGAAAGTGCACAAGAAAACAAGTATGTATAAAATATTTATGTGGCTGATCATCACTTTAAAAAATTTTTCTACTTTCAAAAATTCAACTATCTAGAAATAATTGCCTCCAGTTTAGCACATGTAGGTATTTGGACATATAAAATACTATTTCAAGTCCGTGTTTATAATGACTGAGTAGGAAGCCAGATGGAAAGTTATGCCAAATATGAGGAGCTATTACCATTAAACATAAACCCATGGGACTTTAGCTTGGACTAGTTGGGGCTAATCAATAGAGATTCATGAGGCCAGCATCTTATTTAGATAGTAAGCAGTCATCCTCTTCTTCTACCTAAAAGTTACATTGAATGTGGTTGGTTAACACCCACAAGAACCTGAGCATTAGGGGTCAAGAGACAACATTAAAAACCCAACAAAAACAAACAAAACTCATTTTGGCAAGAACCAACCCTCCGGAACTGTGCTAGCAATAGGACTGAAAGTGAACTGGGCAGTTTCCAAGGTTAAAGGAGAAAAATATTTCAGACATTAGGTTTGCAATGATAGGAGGAAACAATTGTTCTGCAGGTTTTTGTGTACTTTTTTTTCCCTATTGATCTTCCAACTAACTATGAGGTTGTGGCTTCCGGAAAGCTTTCCAGTTACTTGATCAAGGTCTAGCATAACCCCAAATAAGCACCTAACATATTTGGCACAATCACATTTCACTTTGTGATGTGTTGTCCTTCATTGCTGAGTCGAGTTCGGGTTTTCTTCAACATTAACTGCTCTCCTGGAACTTCAGCTCAAGAGGATGGCCCCTCTTCCACAGAAAGGATAAAGGTTGTCCCATTTGCAATTCTAGTTACTGGGATTAGCAATTACTGAGAAGGTGACAAGAGTTCAGATCTGTGAATCATTAGATATTTTGCCCCACAAAACTCCCTTTCTTGTGAAAAGGAAGTGATGTGAACCCAGGAGCAAAACTGATTGAAAAGAGAATCAAAGGGAAAAGGAGAGGAGACAGGAATGATGCATTTCCCTCACTGGCAAGAGGAGCAGACTGGAGAAAGGATACTCTCGACCTTGAGAAAAATACGATCTTCAGAAAAAGGAGAAGTTATATCTTTAAAAAGGTTCTTGGGTGTGTCGGATTCCAAAGTGCCTACAGAGAAGTTGGACTTGCTTCAATTTTACTTTAAAAATTCTCTGCAAGTGATGGTGTGAAGCAAGATTTAAGAAGGTGCCCTGCTCGACTACAATTTTTAGGTTTTATGCTCTAAAACGGAACCCCCAAACAACCTTGAACAGTAAGGATTTTAAAATTTATTCAAAGCAGTCTGATCTGAGGGGTGGCTGCATCGCACAACCAGAGGGTACATGGTAGAATGTTCTAGAACGTTTTAGGGACACAATAGGCAAGGGCTCAGGTAGGGAAACTACTTCATTTATATTTAAGCTAGAGTGTTTAGATTCTTAATTTATTTAAAGCTATAAGATTCAGTTTAGCGTTAACCTAAACAGAAAGTGAGAGACTCTTTACAGGTGGAAGAGGCAGCAAGAAATAAGGCAGCAGATAATACGCAAAGCTGGAACAAGGGCAGCGGTCAGGACTAGTATGGCAATCAGCTTTGTCCTTGACTGCTAAGGCCAACCTCTCTGTTCCTCTGGAAAGTCTGCAAGCCAAGTTCCTAGAGAAGTACGGAGAAGAGAAAACCCGGGGTTAGAATTTTTGGATTGGATATCAATGTATTAAATATCAAGCCATTATTTAAAATGTCAGTAATAGTATCTCCTAGGGCTGATGCAAGAGGGTTAAATAAGATAATAAATGTAGAACCTGTAATAAAGTGCCTAACACAAGTGATCAATAATGTTAGCTATTTTCTCCCATGATGCTTCCCCTCCCAATCTGTTAGTTTAGCAGGTTGGCCAAGATTATTCTTCCTTCAAGACCTAAAGAAAGAGGAGCCTTCAAAGAGGACTCTAGTCAATTCAATTTAGTGCCAACAGTTCTCCCACGCTCCTAGTGTAGTTTATATTCTTCTATTTGTTCAATGCTTCTCCTGGAGAGGAGGGTGAGAATGAGTCTCTGCTAAGACTTGTAGCCTTCAATATATTACACTGTCTTACTAGCATTGCAAACCACCTGGATGCTTGTTAAAACCAAGCTTTTCTCTTCAGCACCACACAGGGATACTTTAGGGCAGGGGTGGGCTCTGGAATTTGCCTTTCCAAAAATCTCACCCAGTTCTCTGAAGCAGATTTTATGAAAAAGCCCGTAAGAAACACTGTAACTGTAGAAACGCATTGAGCGGGAGGTGATCCAAATTGCAAATGAACTCAGTCTTATTGTTGTCAGATAGAAGATGGTTCTTTTCACTCTTTCTATGGGTCTCCTGAGCCAGCTATGCCCATCTCCTAAATGCAGATATACCTCCTTCCCTCCACTAACTTCAATCTTTTAATGTCAATCAAAGTTGCTTCCACTCACTGTTGAGAAAGAAAGGGTGGTTACATCAATAACTTACTTAGGATGAAATCCACTAGTGGGAAGGATCAACTTTCAAACTCATTGGCACTGACACTGTTTTTGAAGGAGGTACTGGCAACTGTCCCACTTTGGGATTAAATGCCATCAGACTACTTAAGACTAGCTTTGAAGAACCTCACAAAGAAATAAGTACTGATTTGGGAGGCAGAGTATTGTGATCATTACCTGTTTAGCTGACCTGTTTTGTGGCTTTGGAAGGTCTACAGATTTTGAACCTTCTATAGCAGTGATTTTCAACCAGTATGCCAGAATTCTTAAAATATGCAATATCTGACTATTTAGTCAGGGGCACTGACCTCTTTTCCCTTAGATTGTCAAATGAAAAAAAATGACAACAGCCAACACTACAATAACCATCCAGTACAAATGAATCAAAATTATACCTATTTTTTGTCAGACCGGCAAAAAATATAGTATTTTTTTGTGTGTCACAGTATTTTAGTAATTACTTTAGGTGTGCCATGAGATGAAAAAGGTTGAAAACCACTGTTCTATTGGAATCAAGTAATTACCAGGATGCTTTGTAATCACTTAAATATGAAGGTAAAACAAAACAAAACTAGAAAACTGTAGTTGTTATGTTATGTTTTACTTCCATAGATACCTGAAATATCAAAAACAAAGGATATGATAGAAATCCACATGCCCAGGGGTCTATTACTACTTTTGATATACCCTATATAATAAATGGCTAATATGCAAATCGACCAAACGGTGGAACGACCGATCACTGTGAGGCACACTGACCACCAGCAGGCAGACGCTCAATGCAGGAGATGCCCCCTGGTGGTCAGTGCGCTCCCACAGGGGGAGCACCGCTCAGCCAGAAGCCGAGCTCACGGCTGGTGAGTGCAGCTGCAGTGCCGGGAGCCTCTCCCGCCTCCGCAGCAGTGTTAAGGATGTCCAACTGCTGGCTTAGGCCCTCTCCCTGGGAGCAGGCCTAAGCCAGCAGTCAGACATCCCCTGAGGGCTCCTGGTCTGTGAGAGGATGCAGGCCAGGCTGAGGGACTCCCTGCCCCCCCTCCCCCAGTGCATGAAATTCATGCACTGGGCCTCTAGTATGTATGTATGTGTGTATATATGTACAATATAGATATATACATATACATATACATATATACATATATATATGAACACCAGCCTAGTCATTATAAAAGTGGCTAAGTATAGATTTTCATGTCTATTACTTCTAAATGACAGAGACTGAACCTCTTCCCAATTCTAAAATTGAAATTTCATCCTCACCCCCTACGCCACCCTACTTACAGAAGTTACGCAAAAGGACTTCCGAAAGGATCCCTATATACATCGGAAGATGCGGGTTGAGGAGAAGTCATCTATGGAGATACAACCAACCAATCAGTAAGTATACTTATAGTTATAAGAAAAAAAAATACTTAGACTTCTCTAATTTCTTTAAAATTCACATAGGTCACAGAAGGGTCTACAATGATTTATATTTGCCAGCTTGTAACTAGTGGTGTATATTTATTATTTACATCAAAATCAAGGTTCAGATAGATTATGTTTGCTTCCCCAGAATGGGAAGTATTTTTTCTTTTTTTGAACTAAAGAATCATGGGTGAGAAATCAGGAACTTAAATCTATGAAAGATTTTTTAAATATAGTACTTTGGTTTGATTTTCTCTTCAAATGTTTTTATGAGCCAGGTTCAATGAGATACAAAAGACTTTTTCTATATGATATTCATTTCTCAAGTTTAGAATAGGCATCCCTGCAAAAATCACCTTCCCCCCAATTTGAGTTGATTACATGGTGGTGGTTCTCAATAATAAATCTTATTCAACCGTCCTTGATCATCACAGGATTGTTATACCTACAAGCAAGGTTAACCGTGGAGGCAGTAGCTCTATGTGGCAACACTATGATTGGCAGCTTGCAGCAGCTGATACTTACAGAGGCTTGTGACGAGCTGAAAGCATTTTTAGAGAAAGGGTTCTGAAAGGCATTGTCAGAAGAGTTGGTAACTGGCGGGGCACCTTGTCTGGGAGCTGGCTTTGGTGGTTCTAGAAGGTGAAAAACCCAAGTAATCAGTAGACAAGCTTTCCCCAAATACAGGCAGCAGGCCCTGGTCAGGCTTATCTTAGAAAGTAAGTTCCATGGTTTTGAAATGTTCATCAATGGAGCAAACATCACCACCACATATGAGGGCTCCCAATTATTACAGGCAAATCCATCCCTCTCAGAAGAGGACACCATGCATATTGATTGACTTGAAGTGAAAGAGCTTCAGATTCCCCACTGGAGGCCATGGAGCTTGGTGGAGGCTTTCCTATACAGCCCTCCAGCTACCAGCACCCATTGCCTATCAATAGCTCTTGGCTGCCCTCAAAATTTGTCACAAGAGGGCAGCACAGGGCCAGACCTTTTCTAGTGAGGTGAATAGTTAGCTTCATAAGGTAAATGGTTAAGTTGTCTCCATAACCACCGATTAGGCTATTGGTGGGTGGGAGAGTTTTCTTCTGATGGATTCTGTGGGCCCATATGAAGGGGAAATACTAGTACTTGTTGGCATAGTAGACGGAGAAGTGGGTACCTTACCATTGATCTTTTTCAATAGTTGGTTAGCATCGAAGTCATCGTGGTCTGCATTCTCCTGAGGAATGCCCACCTTGCTGTTGAAATAACTCGAGAAGGCACTTGAAGTCCCCGAGGAAGGCTGGTCTCCCTTCCTCGCGGGGACCGGAGGCTGCCGCAGTTGTAAGTCCTTAAACATTTCTTTCACTTCCTTGACTTCTTGATCCCCGAGGGGGTCCAAAGCAACGAAGGCATTGGTGGAGATGTCCTTTGGAGGGCCAGTTCTGGGAGGTGGTTGAGGAGGAGTGACCAGGAGAGAGGAGAGCATAGGAGGGGACTGGGTAGACACAGCAGGCACTGGAAAAATATTGCTCTGAAAAGGATTCCCCAGAGGGCTTGCTGATGACCAAGTATTGGGTGACACAGATGCTGATGGGCCCCAAACAACAGGGGCTGGAGGGGGAGTTGAGGCTGCAAAGGATGAAGGCTGGTTCCACCCTGCAACCGTCGGGCTTGTGGTAAAAACCATTGGTTGACTGAATCCGGCAGGCTGAGCACCCATCATGGCTCCTGGGACCATGGAAGGGGACTGATTGAACACGAGAGATGGTGGGCTCCATGGTCCTGTGTGAGGCGGTGTGATTGCTGCACCACCTGAAGGAAGTGAGAGAAAGAACTTATCAGGAGACAAGCTCAAAGAGGATTTCTGAGTTACAGAAAACAACTTTCCAGGAAGCATTTATAAAGCATCTACATGGCCAATGACTTCATTCAGCCTTGAGGCTGACATGGAAATGAAGGCTCAGGTCACCAGGAGATTAACAAGCCGATACAGTATAGCTGGTATCCAAATGCAGGTGGCATTTTGATGCCCTTTCTTTCTACCACATCTTTTTGCTTCATTGGAAGGGTAACACAGACCATAAGTACCGAGTCATGAAAAAATGGGCCCTCCTCGTACATACACTGGTGTATTTTAAACAGCTAGAACCGAGCCTGTCAACACTATGAATACATTTATGTATACCAGGGGTCCTCAAACTACGGCCCGCGGGCCACATGCAAATACAAATGTTTTATTTGTTCCCATTTTGTTTTTTTATTTGAAAATAAGATATGTGCAGTGTGCATAGGAATTTGTTCATAGTTTTTTTTTAAACTATAGTCCGGCCCTCCAACGGTCTGAGGGACAGTGAACTGGCCCTCTGTTTAAAAAGTTTGAGGACCCCTGATGTATACTAACCATGCTGATTATGAAGTAGCTAATTAAGATAAACCATGGGGCACTCTGAGTCACTGATTCCATCTTTCCATTTGGCAGCTGGCTACTGTCTGAGTCTGATGGAAAGCGGCTATCACGCATGTGCCTTAGGCCTCAACATGTTTACGCCCTAAAGAAACCATCTCAGAGTTGCCTTGCTTTTAAATGCTGCCAAGGTTGATGCAGCTATACAAAAGGATGATAAAATTTGGTTGGGGCCAAGATACTTTCAGGTTTTTCTATACGAACATGGAGGAAAGGCCGGTTATCCCGGGAGAGCTGTTTCAAATAAAAGTGCTTCCTGCCATGTGTCACTCACTAAACTTGGCCAGAAGTTAGAACATGGTATGCAAAAGAGGAGGGGAGGGAGAAGACCCCGTGGAGCAAAACCACCTTCCAAGGTAACCAATGGCCTGTGCCCGGGGGTCTGATCTCTGTGGGGAACGCCCCGCGGCCTGCATCCCTGTCATGTTGATTAGGAGTAAGTGAAACCACTAAAGTCCAAGTCTCTCCAACGTTTGCCCCTCTTCCTGAGAAGCTCATTCCCTACATCTTGTTCAGAGACGGAGGGCATTGTCTCTCCTGCTTCTTCCAAAGTGTGTTAATGACCCAGTTAAACTGTCACCACTAGCAGCCCTATTCACGAATGATGCTCGGCTCTCAAAACCTACTTGCTCTGAGCTTTGGGGCAGGGCATTCTTTCATCATGAAAGTGCTCTAACCCAACGAAGGCCCTTGAACTTGGGTTAGGGATGTTTCTGTTTCCAAAGTGAGAAATGTTTTGAAGATGGTATTCGGGGACTGATGGAGCAGGGTATTCTGTCTTGAACTTTTCTAGTATTGGAGGTTGGTGTTCCTTGACTCAACTCTACCACCATGAACATCAGCCGTCTGGCCACGAGCATACGGTGTGCTCACGGAGAGCAGTGGGTTTTGTGAAAGGCCATCTTACTAAGTTAACACCCTTATTTCTGAGTGGAGGGAACTGGGTACAAGAATATTAATGATTAAAGTTGGGAAAGTCACAGTTTGCGACAGTAGAGACGAAAACTCAGGCATACTGGCTCCAACCCCAGCAGCCTATCCTCCTGTTCTGCCCCTTTGGCATCAAGAAACAGGACTATTTTTTTTTTAATTGAATGTTAATGCAAATATTTATTGTACAGATACAGCTTTAGACTTCATTTACACTAAAAGTATATACATATTCCCTTCACAATGAATCGAAGGGAAAGTTATCTTAGATTGTAGGCTTCTAAAAGGGAGCTGAGTTTGAACAAAGTTATCTCTAGCATTTTCAAACAAATTTATTTAAACTCTATTACTGAAACCCAGAGTCACTCAGTAATAATTTACACCAGATGGATGTGCAAATTGGGTAGAATTTTATCATCTTTCATGTTGAACGGCTTGCCTACCCTTAGGAAAGTGTGTGGCTTTAGACATAGGTGGTATTAGTGGGAGCGGTGGTAAAAGAGAAAAATATTAAATTTGCCAGGAAATAAAGACTTTCCCAATATATACTTATGCCAGCCTTCATTCCTATCTACAAGATTCCATGTGTTGTGTTTCCAAGATATTTAAGGCCCCGCTGGAAAAAGTAGAGGCAAGAGGTAAAAAAAAAAAAAGTTTCAGTAAAAAAGTTCATTTTATTACATTCTGATTCTAGATGAAAACAGGGTAGCAAGTCAAAACTGAAGGCTCAGCCTTTTACAACCCCTTTTCCCCACCCCCCATTCTCCAGAGGAGAGAGTCCCCCAGCTGGGGCCGGCGGAAGCCAGACCTACCACCTTCCAGGGTTTGGCGGAGGATCCCTGCTAGTGGACAGGGGCTATACTGTGGAGCTCAGTTTGAGTCCCATGTCCAAACTTGGAAGAATCATCAGTATTCTGCAGTTGTATACCCCAAGGCCTCAACAGGGGCTCCTAGCCAAAAAGCTTCACTTCGTCTGAATAAATGAACAGTTATAGGGTCCAGCTGTATTTTCAGGCTGACTTGTTCAATATTGGCTGTGAAAATTCTTCGGGGCATGATATCAGACTACAAAGCTCTGTGATGTGATCTGGCCACAGACACTGCCTGCAAGCTCCCTACCCTTCTGCAAGGAAAAACACCAACCAGCTCCACTTGGGGGTGCGGGGAAAAGAGCAACGAGAAAGGGGAAAGCTCCCAAAAGACATGAAGAGCTTGGGGAGGGTCTCTTGATGGCACCAAAGCAAGCAGGGTGCTGGGACAAGCTGGCTTCTCACCCCACATGCATTTCAGCCATTTGGCATCTGGGTAACGACTTTCCTTTTGCTACCATCCTCCCGATATGATGAAACAGTTAATATGACAGAACTACAGTATGTTCCTTTGCGGGGAAACAGCAGAGAAAAAAACAAAGCAGGGTCCTGATGACTGACTCTGCAGGAGGCAGAGAGAGATCCCTGATCAACTTGTACAGAATGAGGAAGGGAGCCCCTCGCTGCTCCCTCTGGGACAAAGTCTCTTTGGAGCTCATTGTGGTGCCAAGAAGCAGAAACACAGAGAATCCCCAGCCAGACAGCAAGGACTGTTGTCAGGGTTTCTGAAGACTGTATGACTGAGGCTGTGGACAAAGGGTAGCAGGGCCAGCCCTTAGGCATGTGGCCTTCCCCAGTGTCCTGCCACAGAGTGGCTCAGTGGCTCACAGGAGCTAGTGACACATATGAATGGCAGCACCAGCACATCCTAGTTATCTGAAAAAGTCCCACCTCTTCCCTTATCTCTATGCTCTTTTCAACATCATATTTTCAGCATTTACTTCTTACTCTATTAAGACACTCAGCTCTCCAGAATATTGGCAAGGAGCTGCTAAGGCTTAAGTATGCAGAGGCAGATAGGATCTATGCCTGTCCCCACCCTCCAGATACCAGGGGTGGAGCTGGGCTCAGAAACTAGGACTTTCATTCTATGACTTACACTTGCTTCAGACTTTACTTGTATCTCTTGCAGGGTATATGTCCTTTTCAAGAGGGGCAGCTGTTTAATAGGGAAGAGGGCTTCAAGCTAGAAATGGCAACTGACATGGAAGACATGCACGTTCTTACTTTTCTAATAGAGACGATAAACAAGGCTCTGTCATCTTAGCTCCAATGAAGCTGGACTGTGTTTCAGAACCCCTCATAATTTTCTTTAGTGAGCAGTTGGTTCAAATAAGTACAATATTGAAAATGGATTTCTTCTCACATTCCAATTCAAGAAGCCAAATTTCATTTACATCCAAGGGTACCAAATGGGGGTGAGGTTGTACAGAAGGAAGAGTGGGAGAAAGGCTCTCTAAGATGCTCCAGTTTTATGCCCCTGAAACCTCGAAGGATATGAAGTGCCTTCCTTCTAGGCACTATAGTCCTGGGAGTGAAAATAACAGAGTCAAACCTGACTCGATCTCGGGCCCTTACCTAGACCTGCTAGGGGTCCCACAGGGGGAGAAACACTGGTCTTGAAGAGATCCAGAGGGTTGGTCTGTGGGGTTGTAGACTGTCCCGTAGGTGATGCCTGGCCTGGAGGTTCTGAGTCCGGAGGAGCAAAGATGTCTGATGTCAGCAAGTCATTTGCTGGAGACTGACAGGGTAGAGGGGGACATAAAGGAGTTACTCGGCAACAGAGAAATGCAGTGTCATTCTGTCTCCTACTCTGTACCTCAAATCTGGAACCACACAGAAAAACCACTTCCTATACTGATGGACTACCACAAAATACCAACCAACCAACCAACCAACCAACCAAAGCAAAAGGACAAGGATCCCTGCAATGGGCAGGAGACGAGGTCTTGGACTCTCAAAATGAAATCTAATTTACTTACTTACACATTTCTGTCTGCCTGGTCTCCTTGCCAGCTAAAAGCTTGTAGCTGGGAAAGGGACAGTTATAAATAAGTAGCTTAAATGTTTTTGATTGTTCTAGTGGATTTGAATCAGTCTGCATGGCCTTGATACATTAGTCTAATCATTAGGCCAGCCTACATATTCCAAAGAGATTAAAAAATAATACTTAACAGAAACCACATTTTAAATTGCTTTTGAATGAAGTGGTAACAGTAAATACAGGTTTCTTTTAAGACAATGGATTATTCAGTCAACTTTTAATAGAGGAGACAAACTCAAGAATTTGACGCCCCCACCTTGGTCATTAGCACAACCTGAGGTGGGTGTGCGGGGCACGCGGTAGTGTGGGGAAGGTATGGATAAGGGGAATCACAAGAACCCTTGCCCTCCGCTCCCAGAACGTGACCATCAAACTTACCAGAGGTACAGAAGCATAGCAGCATTAAAAACGGAAAAAAAAAAACTTGTGTTTAGTTAATGATAAGAGACAAGACATGCAAAGGGAAAGCAGGCTGCGACAACGCTGCTGAGCGCGAAGCTTTGAAAGGGTGGTGATTAGAGGAAGGTATTCCTGGGGGATGACAAGCTCACCCCACCTTCTATATAGAGTACAGCCACACAGGAAACTACAATAGCAGCAGGAAAGACAGCTGGCCTCAGACCACCCTGGGACAGCGAACATGCATTCTGCCCACGGACATGCGGAGAAGACAATTCACCTTGGCAGTCCTTCTGCCTCTTCCTGGTTTGGTACTCTGTGGAGGTGGGATAATGGCTATGGAGTCATGTGTGGAGGACTGGACAGAGCTTTCCAAGTCCTGCTTTAGGCCATTTGGCACGGGCAGTCCTTTGGGAGGGCTTCCCACAAAAGGGTTCGGGGAGGATTTGACATGGAAGCCGTTCTGTTCTCTTTCAGAGACCCCATTCTGAGTTCTCACTGCTGGCTGGGTTTGCGGGCTGGAGAGGGGCCACGGGTCTGCCTGAGCTTCCTGCTTGCCAGTCCGGTTAGAGATCTGGTCAAACTGCTGACCAAAGTAATCAACGTCCCCATTCAGGGGCCCATTACTCAGTGGAGTGGACAAGCCACTCAAATTCTCTGTCTTCTGATCTGGAGATTTGAGAGAATCAAATGAAGAGGGTGGCGATTGGTCCTGCTGTGCAAAAGGATCATCACGGAAAGGGTCAGGATTGGGGGTGGGAAAGAAATGGAGATTGGCAGGAAAGGCATTTTCGGGCAAGAAAGACGCCTGAGGCTTTGGTCGAGGAAGAGAGGAGGAGGTGATGCCGTTTGTTAAGAATGAATTTTCTCTTAAAGAATTCTGATTGGTGTTGATTTCAGAGTTTAGATCCACTAACAGGATATCTTTGCTTTCCTATCACATTTGGAAGAGAAAAAAAAAGAGAAAGAAAGTGTTAGTCCATGTTGTGACTTCAAATGAAAAAGCTACATAAAATGACCAGGGTTATCACAATTCCCGTGAGATTTTGGTTTTTGACAAACAGGTTGACCATGATCTCCTCCCATCCCCTCGGTGAGTGCATTTTCCAGTTGAATAGGTCCTCCCTCCCCCTTCCCCACCTGTGCCTGTTTATTTATGTCTCAACTTCATTTACCCCTTAATTAAATGAAATCTTACTGTTGTTTATATCATTCATGTCACCGATCACCCTTACAGACTGGCTGAGTTCATGATCATGGTTGTTTCAATTCATGTCTTTGAAAGTCTTAAAGGAATTCACTGTGAGTCACTCCAAGTGATTAAGTATATAGAGCTTGAAGGTAAGACTAGACTTCAGAAGCCCTGCCCAGCTTCCTGCCTGTTATCTTTGCTTTCCTATCACTGTACCCCAGTCATGTAACATCACTTCTCCAAATAAGCGCATTTACTGACTAATACATTCATATTTTGCAGTTCTGGATGTGATGAAGTTTGATGTCAAATATATCTCCCTATAATTGGTCTTTCCTTGGGCCAATTATAGGGAGATGTCAGGTATGCTTTTTAAAATATTTCAGAATCTTTTTGAAAGTGCTAGCCAAGTTAGATCTCTCATCCTGATCCCCTTAGCCTCTCCTCTGGACACACACTTTTGTCCATGCCTTTCTAAGAAAGTGATAACCTAAGATAGGGATATAATCTAACAATATCACATTAACCTCTTGTATTTGTGCATTTTTAAAAAATAATATAGCTTAAGCCTTAGCTGGTTGGGCTCAGTGGATAGAGCGTTGTTGGCCTGCAGACCAAAGGGTCTCAGATTTGATTCCAGTCAAGGGCACATGCCTGGGTTGCAGGCTCGGTCCAACATACGTGAGGCAGCCAATCAATAATTCCCTCTCATTATTGATGTTTCTATCTATCTCTTCCTCTCCCTTCCTCTCTGGAATAAATAAAAATATATTTTAAAAAAATATAGCTTAAGAGTTGCCTGTGTTATAACAGTAATCTCATCTATCTAGAGGATAAATTCAACTAATCTTTGTCTTTAATTTATATATAATCTAGTCTGATTTATGTATAAGGTGGACATGTGGGTTTAAGAGTTAATTTGAAAGACATACCAAATTCATAACTCTACAAATTTTATTCCTTATCAGTTTCTGGCATGTTAATTATCTGAGTTCTCAGTTGTTAGGTAAGACATCCTACTTAGCATAAGAGCAGCCAATTGGATCAATCTGCCATGTCTTTATCACTAGTTAGGAGCCACCCTGGGACTGAGCTGTCACACTGACAGCCCTTCCTCCTAACTGACTTGGGTACATTAATACTTCACTGTGCTGACCACAGAGGAATATCATCCATAAACACCTTTGAAATGGAAGTTGGAATTCTAGCATTGCCCTGAACAGATCACTAAACATTATGATCCTTGAGACAAAAACAACCATCAGGGAATATGAAATTCTCAAAAAGAAAAGGGAGGCCTGAGGAGGCAGACCTCTTTTATTTTACGGGAAAAGAATACATTTCTAGAAAGTTTAGACCCCAGATCAGACCTAATTAGTATTCTATCTTTTGGCTTCCTTTACTGTTAGGTATAAACCACAATGCTTAAAAACCAGCTTTTCTTTTTATAACCAGAAGAATTTGTCAGAAGAAAGAGCTTGTCATTCAAATTTTCTTTTAATCAAAGAAACAGAATGGAAGATTTCTTAATGTAGGGATCTTTAACAATCAAAAGGTAGAAAAAGGTACTACAAAAGCTTGTGATTTCAGTATTTATTCATTTATTAGGAGCCACCTCTGGTTAGAACAGTTGGGTATTCACAGCTGGCAGAGTTCTCCTTTGCAAATACTTCAGAAGAAGTTCTTAGGACACCAAACAGGAGCCCCAGTGTTAGACTTCGGAATAGTCGGCCTATAAGTGAAATGTATAAGGCTTCCTCAGCTCAGGTCTGTTGCTAATTCCAGATTAAGAGTCTATCACATGATCTCACTCATATGTGGAATCTAATGAACAAAATAAATTGATGAAGAAAATAGATCCAAAGACGTAGAAGCATGGAGCGGACTGTTGAAGCTCAGAGGGATGGTGGGCTTGGGGTGGTGGTTGGGGAGAGATTAGCCCAAGACTTTATATGCATATATGCATAATCATGGACATAGACGATAGTTTGGTGAAGGCCTGGGGGTGGGGAGGGAGCCGGGTGGAGGGGGTCAATGGGAAATAAAGGGGACATAGGCAATACTTTCATCAATAAAGATAAATTTAAAAAAAAGATTGAGTCTAGTTCATAGACTGTAATTAAGAGACGCAAGACTCCTCCCCCACCTCCTCGGTCAGAGCTTCATGCATTTCTCCTTGGGTGTCAATACTGCATCCCCACGGCCATCGTTGGAGGACCCGAGAGACAAGCACTAGTGATAGGAGCGTGAAATGCAGTCCCTGCTCTTAGGGAGCTCCAGCAAGAGGGGCAACAGGCAACCAAGTGGTGTCTGTCCAGAGACGAAGTCTGAACTACCGAACTCTGTAGCCTAGCTCTCCTCTAGGCAGCTGTGCCGCCTCAACACCTCGCTGCCAAATCCTGGACTTCCCTACCCGAAGCTTTCTGTATTAAAATAAGCTTCGTTAGCCACACCTTCAAAGTGACCCACAAGCAGGGGGGGAATCCAGCTTACATTTAGCCTAACTACTCTATTTTCCTACACATTTAAGAGACCCCGTTCAAGTTCAGATAATTTATAAAGCCTCTTCCCATGGATCCTCCATTTCAGCTTCACCTGTGCCCTTTCCGCATCTTACTTCCACAGCACTGTGCCCTGGCCCAGCCCTGCACCAATTTTAACCTCCTTGAAGGAGGACCATACCTTATGTTCTTCTCATAATAACTCTGAATGATCAACATTTTCATTAGAGCATGTCTTTTTTTTCTTTTTCTTTTTTTAGATCAGTATGGATGAATATTGTTCAAGTGGTTTTCCAATAAAAATTACATTCTGAGGTACGCTACTTAGTTTGCAACATGAGCTTTATTTGTAACGCGTAAAACTATTCTGTATAAATGTTGGAGAAGGGACAGGGCCTAACTAATAAAGTTTAGATAATTGAGATTTCTCCTCTCTTCATCTCTTCCAAAGCACAACTACTGTAAGATTTGAATCTTTTAAAACATGCTGGTTTTATCAAAAGTAATGATAAGTTTATTTTGTGATCTATGACTATAAAGTCAATCTGCAAGAATGCGCTGGCAAAGTCTGACCAGCTCATAATGAATGCTGTTGGAATTCTCTTACTTATTAGATACCATCTACTTTGATGGTATTTATTTCTTTAATGTATTATTAGTTATTGATACACCAAAAATTCATAAAATGTATGAAGTCTAATATCAACGAGACGCAGGCTTACTCAAGCTGCTTTCTATTTCCTTTTTCCTAACTTTCCAGAAGGCTACAGAAGCAGACGAAGCCGTCAGAGCTTCCTTGCCTACCCCATGGAAACTGCCTGAGAGCTTGAGTGTTCTGATCTCTTTCAATAAACTTGTTTGACTGTCAGTTATACTTGGAAAGCATGCTTTTCAGACATCGATTTCAGAGCTGGGATGGACCTTCCAGGGCTGTCTAATCCTGTACGTCAAAAAGTTTCTCCTTAGAACGGTAACAGACATTGTGAAGAATGACAGGTCCTACAGGCAAGTGAGTTAGGACACACTGCTCTACAGAACCGTGAACAGGCTTCTCTATGGCGGCTTTGAGGCTTCTATAATGCAGTTATACAGTGTGAATCTCATAGGCTTGGGGGCTTGAAGTGGGTACCCAGCCCCTGCTCCTTCTCACCTCTAGAGCTTCAGCATTTTATGTGAAGTTTCATGGACCTGGCATTCTCTGCAATACTCTGGGCCAGTGAGACTCACCCAGTCTCTGGTCTGCTGTGGTTTTATTTCCAGTGACCTTCTTGGCCAGACAGGTTTGCTTAAAAATTCCCTGATGTCAGAAACCCCTAGACAGACAATGATGCTCTTTTGTCTGGTTGTTGCCTTCTGTCTTTTATGTTCAAGCCTGGAAATTCACTCAGCACTATTACCTGACCCTCTAAAGCCAGGTAAATACCTTATAATTAACATCCACTAATAAGCTTTTTAATTGGTTTTAATGTTGGTCTCCTCCTTTTTAATTGGCTTTAACGATGTCACTGACATTGTGCATCTCATTGCTGTGCCCGGCAAGTAGCAGGTATTCAAGAAACTATTAAATAAATAACAGAGTTGTAAAAAGCCATTCAAAATTACATGGGTAATTTCACTGGAGGCCTGTTTTGGAAGGTCTGAGACTTGGGTTTTGGTGCTGAATTTGAACCTCTTTCTTTGGTAATTATTTTTCTTTTCAGAATTACCATTTTCTTATCTGTAAAGGAAAATGTCATTCTAGTCTTGATATTACGAAGATGTGATACACGCTAATATCCTGTAAAAAATGAGAAACTTTTTTTTGAAACAAGGACAAGTCTTGGTTAAACATAGTGGAGCCTCTGTTTTAAATCTTGCTTCACACCAAGCTTATGCTAACTCACCAAGAAAGAATAAAAAATAAATGGAGCAGCCAGGAGGTTTTACAATTAATCATTTAACAAACATACTTCCTTCAAGTAGGGTTATGCCAAGAATTATTATTCAACTCCTCCTTCTGATCCTAAGTAATACCAAGAAGGATTACATTGCCCGACCTATGGCTCAGATTTAACCTCCAAGCAATATTAAGTATCTGAATTAGTCCTGATAGGTTCCCATGGTGACTTAAGATGCAAATTTGTTCTAGCAGCCATTTACACTTTATGCAGAAAAAAATCAGCTGCCATGTTCCAAGTTTCAATAAAGATGCTCAAGATTTATGGTTAATTGCCAATTTGAGTCATAGATGTCATTTCCATTACATTGCAAATTTAAAAACAGACACTTACTGTTGGACTATTTAGGTCAGGAGGTGTAGACATGTCCCCAAACAAATCCATCCGGTCAACAGCCTTAAAAAAGTATTTGGATTAGATTCAGATGTGTCTACTCAAAAAGATTATTTTGAATATTGTTGTAATTGTTTCCTAAACAGACGTTTAGGAAAATAGCCGTCACAATTGAATTTTCATTTAACTAATACAGATTTGATATTGGGCGATTTAGGTCAGGAAGTGTAGACAGGTACCCAAACAAATCCATCTGGTCCAAACTCTTTAAAAAGTATTCGAGCCCCAGCTGGTTTGGCTCAGTGGATAGAGCGTTGGCCTGCATACTGAAGGGTTCCAGGTTTGATTCTAGTCAAGGGCACATGCCTGGGTTTCAGGCTTGATCCCCAGTGGGGGCGGAGGGGCATGCAGAGGGCAGCCAATCACTGATTCTCTCTCATCATTGATGCTTCTATCTCTCCCCCTCTCCCTTCCTCTCTGAAATTAATAAAAAAAAAGTATTTGGATTAGATTTAGATGTCTTTACTAAAAAGATTGCTTTTTATATTAACATCGATGTTAGGGAAATAGTTGTTGCAATTGGATTTTCATACAGATTCTGTCTTTGAAACATCTACAGGAAGTAAAACCCACATTCCGGTAAGCAAGAACCATAAAAAGTCACATACATACCAATTTCAGTTTGTTAGCTTGGTCATCAAGAGTCATTAGGGCCTCGCTTCCATTCTGAAAAGATGGCAAATATTTAAGGGCTTAGTTGGTAAGTTTTAATTTCCTAGTATGTTGGCTTGCTCAGCGGTTATGATTTTGGTCCTGGTCATTCAACCATACGTCTCCCATGACCAGAAGGGTCATGAACACAGAGCAATAAGCCAGAAGGGGAGCATGCTGGGCAGGGAGCAAACAAGGGCTGAATCACGTCATACATCACAATTCACAAGGAGAGAAGATGCAGTTTTACCTCGACTGCGTTGTTGGCTTCTTCCATCTAAAAAGAAAGACATAAATTCAGTGATCTAGTAATTATAGTTAAAATGGCTTAAATAAAAGAACAAATATACCTATCAGTTCACAGGCATAAGCAAAAGAGACTCTTGCATATTATCTCTGCTCTACAGTCCCCTCCCCTTTTCACAATAATACTGGATTTGAACAGAGTGACTGGACTTAAACTTGGTAATCCTTTTTAGTCTTTAGAATCAATGTGAAGCTTGTAGGGAGAAAAGACCAGAGTCAGGGACTAGAAATAAGTGCTTGATGATCACTCCCATCCATTGCCCGGCTATTTGGGAAGAAAAGACAATACATTTCTTTCCTTCCCATTCTTTGGAGATCTACATAGAAGCCAATTCTCCAGACAGGCCATATGTTTACATAATGTTCACATATGGTCCTAATACTGTCTTAAGTTTAATAGAACCTGTATTGGGTAACACTTGCCTTTTTCTTTTCTTCTTCCTTTTTCTTCACGTTATAGATAACTTGAAAAAGGTCTTTAAGATCAATGACTAATGGCTCAGCCTGAAGCAAGAGAAAACATCTTTATCAGTATTTTAATCTTACCATTTTCTTCCCTTTGTCTCCCATCAGTTCTGAATTAGTACTCCCCCCCTTTCTCTTAAAGCTCCTTACTACGCTCCCCTGTTCTATGGGGAATAACCCCTACTCCCATCCCCACCCCCAGAATCATAAAAGACAGCAGAGTTAATAAGTACTTAGATCAAACAAGAAACACCATGATAATTTTCCAAGTCCTTCTGCATTTCCAGGAATAATTTGCTATTATTCTATAATCAACATTCACCTTATAAGAATACTCATTCCAACAATCCTTGTACCACATGCTCCATGGGAATCAATGACATTTCAAAAATGATTTCTTAGACCAGTGGTTCTCAACCTTCCTAATGCTGCGACCCTTTAATACAGTTCCTCATGTTGTGGTGACTCCCAGCCATAAACTTATTTTCGTTGCTACTTCATAACTGTAATTTTGCTATTGTTATGAATCATAATGTAAATATCTGATATGCAGGATGTATTTTCATTGTTACAAATTAAACATAATTAAAGCATAGTGGTTAATCACAAAAACTATATGTAATTATATATGTGTTTTCCAATGGTCTTAGGCAACCCCTGTGAAAGGGTCCTTCGACTCCCAAAGGGGTCACGACCCACAGGTTGAGAACCGCTGCCTTAGACCAATAAACATAGTTATCCTTTGAATCATTGTTTATTCCTCCCTCTATCTCCAGTTGTTTCTAGAAAGCTCGCCAGTTGAGTGATAGACACTCCTACGTTCCACTGAGGACAAGTCCCCTCCAGGTATACCTCAGGGCTTAGCACTTACCTGCTGCCCTGTTTTTATGGCAAAAAACTGATGCTGGCCTTCTGCTCCACACACATAACCAAATGCCCGGTTGTCTGTCACATCACGGGCGATGAAAGAGATCTTATTTACTGGATGTTCGTGCTCTATCACCTGAAAAAGGACAAAAACATGATTTACTGGGAAAAATAGCATCTATCTGTAGGCTAGCACAGCTAAGCATCAGATATATGCAGAGGCTGAATCAACCACTGAGCCACACTGGCCAGGCTATTCTTGTATTATTATTTATTAGTTATTTATTATTAATACAATACAACTGAGAACTTACTTTTCTCTACCCCTATATATTAAAATGAGACCCATACATAGACCTACAATAGCATCACAAACCAAAGGTTAGGATTAATCTAGTTCTTGTACTTGGGATCGAAAAGAATACCTGTGACATTACAGCATACCCCTGTTTATAGACTTGACACATCTATTAGAGGAAATAAATTTCAAGATAAAATGACTTAACTCCTCACTGCTACCCTGTTTTCCGCCTTTACATCTGAAGAAGTGATATATATACTATTTTTTTTCCTACAGAATTTTGAAAAGGAAAAAGGGGAGCTAAAACTTAGTTGCAAATTTTTTGTCAAATTCAGGTGGTCAGAAAAGTGTCAGTGAAAGCGGATTCTTACCCCAGTTTTCTCATCAATTATTTTGATCCCAGAAAGGGAAATGTTGACCCAGATCCTTTGTTTGTGTTGTCCCTGAGACCGACCAGCCGCCGCCATGCCCTGATGAGGTTGGGAAAACAAGAAAACTTAGTTAAAACTACCCTATGATGCTTCTGATACTGAAACTTTAAAGGCAGCTTTGTTTTCAGCTTAATTTACCATCTGTGAAAGGCCTAAGCACCCTGCATAAGAGAGAGCAAGAAGGAATAGAAGGCGTTGAGCCAGGACATCACTAGTTAGTTCCGTGAACTTGGACAGGTCATTTTAATTCTTTTGACCTCAGAACAGTCACTGGTAAAGACAAGAGAATGTACTAGAAGTTTTTCAAAGGTGTTACTTCTAGGCCTTGTCTTACTTAACAAGTATTATCTAATTAGTTTCACATAGTGACAGTGCTGGAATTCAAAAATTCAGAAAATCCAAGGGCTAACACTAAGGAACACAAGTTTCCAGGTACAGTCCTGACTTTTACCTGAAGACTTCCATGGTTGAAACAAAGCAAAAGGCATGTCGAGTCCTGCTACACTAGAACAACACTCCGAATATGCAAACAATCTCATGGCTACTCATCAAATGGGGTGCCACTGGATCGATTATGTGATTGGAAAGTTTTCCTCTTGAATAATTGAGATACAGGTAAATACAAACTTCTCATCTAATTCCTTCTGCTGGCCATTTGCCGAAGACAGAGACAAAGCATGCTTTCTGCCTTTTACCTTTAGTTTCATCATAGAATCTTGGCTCATTTTATCTCCTCTCGCATCTGGCACATCATCAATGCCAATTAGCTTGGCCTTGTATTTTACACCATCACCTTTGAATCTGGCCAAAAGATACTCATCCGTCTTTTCCGAGCCTGAGAAAAGAAAGAAATATAGGATAAAGTTTATAAATGTATTTAAATATCAGCCCCATGTATCATCAAATATGTTCTGGAATCTACAAATCAGAGTAGTATAAATCTTGCTTATACTATGATTGACTAAGTGTGCAATATTCTACCCTTATTCTCACTTCCTTTGAGTAAAACCATGCTCTTTAATACTATATAAGATGTTGGGATGGAGAGAAAATAAACTCTTAAAGGTGCAAAATGGACTGAATTATGGGAAACTTATGGAACTATGTGAGGTGGGACCTGGGGATATTCATTATAATTTAAAAATACTTTTAAAAAAGAATATAAGGAGAATAATGCTTGTTTTTTAATAAAAAAAAAAAATAAGGCACCACACAATTTACCAGCATTTTGAACTGTCAAAAAGGCAAAAGGGAATTATGAGTAAATTTCTTTGAAAATCACTTAAGATAATTATCCCATCTTTATAACTTCTTTTGCTTCTCTTAAAAGGCCTGTGTGGTCTCATTTCCATTGCTAAAGTGTAGAAGTGAAAAGCAAGCCAGTCACGAAATATTTTCAAGCTATGAATGATTAAGACTCTGGCACTTTGTAGTGGTACTTCAGGTGAAGAACAAGGCTCTATAAAACAAAGATCTTTCGTTTGTAAAAACAGCAACATGGTAAACAGGTTACTGAAAGATAACCATGTAATAACTGATAGTTGATTTATCAACTGAACAAGAAGGCATGAGAGCTGCCTGGCAAGACCCAGGCAATCACAGGATTCAGAGACACGTCTTGTATATGGAGTGAACCAAACTCCAGCTCTCCTGCTCAGGCCTGGAGACCAGGCTCAGGCTGAAGCCAGGCCAGGGCCAGCTCTTACTTTACCCTGAACTTCTCATTTCTTCAGAGGTAACCACCGCGAGCTCCCCTTATTGGCCTCAAGAGGATTTCTCCATACCTTTCTTCTTCTCCTTCTTCGACGGTGCTTTTGGTGCGGCCTGTTGGTCAGGCTGACCATTAGATGTACTGGTTTCTACTTCGTTAGACATGGCAAGAAGGCAGACAGCAAACTCCAGCACCAGCAGACACTTAGTGACACCAGGTGCTCCCTGATGGCGAGGTCTCAAAAGAACATAACCGACTGCAGACACCTGTAGGCAGAGTTTAGAGGCGTAATGAGATTATAACACACCAGACCCAGACTTTATGCCATAATAGGCCTACCACTAGCGATTCTCGAGTGCAGTTCTTCAGACTCATTTTGTTCTTTCTCCTCTATTAGACTGAACTCTGAAAGCAGGGGAGTGGGTAGGAGTGTTTCCTTTGAGGTTTCCAAAATGGAAAGAAGGTGTTTACCAGATTTTTCTTTAGTCATTTGGTCTCTGGTAACATTTAATGATTATCTAGCTAAGTAGCTTGTGTTGGATCTTTGGCATCAAAATCTAGTATGAAAGATAGGGATCAAAATGTGTGACACACAGAAAAATAAGGCTTCATAGCAAAATAGAAATAAATGGAATGCTAAGCTTGAGAAAATGGCAACTGGCATGTGAAACTGGGTATTATAAATCCTGGTCCTCAAAAAATTCTTTAACTGTAAAGGCAGTGTCAAGAGTAGAGCTATATATTTTATCTTATTCATATTAATATTTTTTAAAATGTTAGGTTTTTGCATATAACCTCCAGTGCTGTCTATAAGCACTATACTTTAAAATACACCCATTTTGACATTAATCCTTACACATATCAGGGAGAGGATTAATTTATGGGGTGTCTGTTGTATAATTAATTCATTGTGTGTGAATACTTTTATGCTATTATTTAGTGTTACTCTCCTCAACATGGTTGTGGTATATGCTCTCATAAAGCTCCCCCATGTATCATAGTAGGTAAAACAGAAAAGTGCAAGTCATTGTAAGCACTAACGAAAGTGAACTAATGTTTCAAAAGGTTCTTTAACCCCCCAAGAGTCAAAGTTTCTACACAGCCCTGGTTGGTTTGGCTCAGTGGATAGAGCATTGGCCTGTGGACTGGGGGGTTCTGGGTTCGATTCTGGTCAAGGGCACATGCCTGGGTTTCAGGCTCGATCCCCAGTGGGGGGCGTGCAGGAGGCAGCCAATCAATGATGTTTCTGTCTCTCCCTCTCCCTTCCTCTCTGAAATTAATAAAAATATTTTAGAGAAAAAAGAAAGAAAAGGAGAAAAAAAAAGTTTCTACACAGCTGCCGAGAGAGCTAGAGACAGGTTAACTCTCTACCTGGACTGAAGACCGACGACAAAGAAAAGCTCCTCACAGTCTGTAATCCTGTTAAGACCACCAATGGGCTGTTGTATCCCCTGAAGCCCTCTTAATTCTATGCCTACAGCACCCATTTATTTGAGCTTTTAAATTCAAGGATCAAGTCCATCACATGGGAATATGTACTGTTTGTTAGATACTTAAAGGATAAAAAGTAAGTTTTAAGTTTTTGCTCAATGAGCTTCAACTGCCACTTACTTGCTTCATGAATGTCAACAGGTTCTCCTGAAGGTCAGCACTTAATCTCTCCCCCCATGAGGTTTTATATTTTATTTTATTTTATTATTTTTATTTTATTTTATTTTACTTTATCTTTTAAATCCTCACCCGAGGATATTTTTCCATTGATTTTTAGAGAGAAAGACAGAGAAGAGAGAGGCCTGGGACAGGGAGGAGCCTGCAACCGAGGTATGGTGCCCTTGACCGGAATCGAACCTGGAACCCTTTGGTCGACAGGCCACTGCTCTATCCACTGAGCCAAACTGGCTAGGGCTCCCATAAGTTTTTAAATAGTCCTTGTAGTCTTAATAGTCTTTGAAAGCAAATACATAAAAAAATACATAAATCTATGTATAGTAATGTTATCTGAGTTATTTCATTTGGAGATTTAGTTGTTAGTTTTGCTCAAAGACACCTGGATAGTAGGGAGCCATAGAGAAGTCTCTGCACTTGGATGTCATACAGAGTAGAGAGTTCAAAGCTCTTTTCTTTCTTTTTAAAAAAATTTATATGCTTTTATTGATTTCAGAGAGGAAGGGAGAGAGAGGGAGAGATAGAAACATCAATGATGAGAGAGAACCACTAATTGGCTGCCTCCTGCAGGCCCCACACTGGGGATTGAGCCCCCAATCTGGGTATGTGCCCTGACTGGGAATCGAACGGTGACCTCCTGGTTCACAGGTCTATGCTCAACCACTGAGCCATGTTGGCCGGGCCAAAGCTCTTTTTACTCAAGACGTCTTTAGGGGCCAAACACTATTAGCCTTTTACCTGTATTAACTCCAAAATTTACAATAACCCTGAGTATTAGGATACAGTGTGATTTCACTTTTCCTGAGGGAAAGCCAACGCTCAGAGGTTATAACTTACACAGATGCAAATACTAGAACCTGGGTCTAGCCCAGGCTGTCTGGCTCCAAGCCAGGGTTCCTTAGATGTGACAGTGATGAATCTCATCTGAGAAATCTCATAATAGCTACAGAGATGCTGTTATATATCTGTGTGGCTGCCAAAAGATATGTCCAGTTCTAAATCTTTCCAAACTAAGGCATAGCTTAAAATATAAGTCTAGATTGCATTAAGCTATTGGGTTTGTTTTAAGTTCTAGTACTAGTAAGGTCAAAGATCTTATATAGGGGGAACAAGTGGGTATAGGACAACTAGAATGTATAGTCTTCTCATTCATTAGGTTCCCTGGGACTCTTCTGACCACGAGCACAACATTAATCAGAAGACATACACAATGAATGTTAGCCTAAGGTAGGGGTCACAAATTAAAGCTCAACACATATGCAAAGGGTTACCTGGACAGCTCCCCATCTAAACCTAGCTGGTTCTAGTTTTTAGGGACAGGCTGCTTCCTTCATTAGAAGCTTGAGCAGAGAAATAAGAAAATACATTTGGAACCAAATGAGGATCTAAAGTTATTGGATACTAGAGGTCCGATGCATGAAATCCAGCCCAGCCTGCACCCTCTCCAATCTGGGACCCCTCAGGGGATGTCTGACTGCCGGTTTAGGCCCAATCCCTATGGGACTTCCCTCTCACAATCTGGGACTGTTGGTTCCCAACCGCTTGCCTGCCTGTCTGCCTGATTGCCCCTAACCACTCCTGCCTGCTAGCTTGATCACCCCCTAACCACTCCCCTGCCAGCCTGATCAACGCCTAACTGTTCCCCTGCCAGACTGATTGCCCCCAATTGCCCTCCCCTGCCAGCCCAGTCACCCCTAACTGCCCTCCCCTGCTGGCCTGATTGGCCACAACTGCCCTCCCCTGCCGGCCATCTTGTGGTGGCCACCTTGTGACCACATGGGGGTGGCTATCTTATGTGAGGGTGTGATGGTCAATTTGCATATTACCTCTTTATTATATAGGATTCTTGACTCCTTAAGGCCTAATGTAGAATAAATTTGTAAATGAAACTTTGCTAAGTCAATAAAATTTGCTTCCATTTGAGAAAAGATATCTAACTTGGATTTTGGACTTTACAAACCTCCCTGAAAGAATGTGAAGACTTCCCCTTTCCATGGCATAAGAATCAGATGACTGGGAGAGATTTTGGAGCTTGCAACATCTTTTCTGAGAAGGCTCTGAGAAATGTAAACCAGAACACTGCGTGAGTCATCTTAAGACAACTATGTCCTTTGCACTAAAAAAAATAAAATAAAATAATAAAAATATCTGCTAATCTGCTATAGTTTGTTTAGCCCTTAAAGTTATGCATGCAAGACATCCAGTATTTAGAACCCTGGAATGCTTGGCATAAGAACACATTTGTGTAGAGGCAAACTTGGCTGGCACCTTCTTATTTTTGCTTTTCTTTCCCATATATTCCCAATAGGAATATATTGGTATCGGCAATAATACTAATTAATAATCCCAGAATTCTAAAGCAATATCCTGACACCAATTTACCACCTTCTGCCCAGTCTACCTTCTAGCCCTAATTATACAGAGCAGAGAAGAAATTGCTTAGTCAGCCTCAAAATGCTGGTAAAGGAGTAACTTGAGTTAAGGACTTATTGAATGGTAGGCCCATTCCACAAATGGTAGAGAATCTATTTTTAATGTTAAGGGGAATGAGACAAACACCTAACCTATCAAGCACTTTAAACATTTATTCTGGCAGCTCCATGAAATAGAATGTGTCTCTGCTTTATGAATAATGAAATGGACTCGGTAACACAAGATTATTTGCTAGTAAGTCTCTGAGCTCAAAACTGAACATGATCTATGCCTCTGTTTCTACCATATATGCTGCTACTCTTTATTTTTTTTAAAGCTCAATAATTTTAACCCATATTTTGTAAGCTGCTTTCACAGTCATAATCCCATTGACTTTAAGATATCAGTGAATTTTCTCAGAAGAGCCACATAAATAGACACAGTTAGGGGAGTTAAGGAGAGTCAAGAACAAAGCAACATAAACATCTTTACCAAGAGCGTCCAGTACTTTGTACCGGTCACAGAATGTGTTTCCTTGTCTTTTAGAACGTCATGCCTGTCTCAGCTGAGCTACTGCATTAGGGCATGTGAAATATTAACCTCCCAGGCAGATCTCAGGGTCCAAGAGGGCAGCGAACAGCCTTCACCACTATTTTCAAAGCAGCCTTTTGAGAATGAGGAAGGTTGCCAGAAATGAGGCAGTGAAGTTAGGCTGTTTCTGAAAGTTGATGTAACTCCTTTCTCCCTTAGCTGCTTAGATGCCCATGCTTTTAGGAAGGCTTACTCTACCTGCAAAAGCCACGCTGAGCAGACAGGAAGATTTGTGCAGCCTCTTTAATTGGGGAGGTGAGACCACATAAATGCACACCGAAAAGGAGTCCTTAACAGATGTGCTTGCAAATGCTGACACAGCTGTAGGGGCCTCAGTAACAAAACATGCCTGAATCAAGGAGATATACACAAGTTAGGCATTTACAGAGAGCACGTATCGTTGCTTTTAACCCTTGGAAGGGATGCTATGGGACTGAGCGGACACTAAGAGCCCTGAACCAAGAAGCTGTTCCCTGTATTTGGAACCAAGTCTGACCAGATTTACAAGTTCCCTCTGCAGTTCATTGTGAGCAGAGGTGAGATTGCATAGCAGCTAAGAGTTCAGGCTTGGGAATCTTAGATAACTTCATTGTCGTTT